TGCAATTGAATAAGTAGACCATTTCAGAATTTGAAATTTGGGACTCTCTAAATGCATAATGGGACTCATACTTTTCTGATCAGCGAGTCCCTGGAACTGGTAGGGCTCAAACGGTAAAATTATCACTGGATCAGGCTGTTCGTGGAGCTAATTCTCAACTCCACTCAAGTGTATTTCTCGAGCACTTTCAAACAGCCATCGCTGCATCCAAAGTGCTGTACATGGAGCAACTAACATATATACAACAATAAAGCAATAAATCAGTAACAAGGACGGTAGAAAACACCAAACAGTAAAACTAAGATCAAGTCTGGGTCATGCTGAGTCTAATGCCAAAGAATACAAGTGAGTTTGGAGGCTAATGAAAAAGGCTCTGGTGTGTTTGATTCTTGAATATTTCCTTTGTGTTTCCGACAGGATGGCAAGCGAGCTGCTGCAGCTGCCGCCGCCGCCGCTGCTGCCAGACGCGTCGTGGCCAATCAGCTCGGGGGGGCCACGAGTGCTTGCGTGCCGATTGGCTGATTGGCGCAACTTGAAGAAAACGAAGGTGGGCAAAAAAAAAAAAAAAAAAGCTGCGAGGCGGCGGATGGACAAGAGGCGCAGCGACGACTACTGCGCGGCAGGCAGCGGGACGGACAGGAAGGAAGGAAGCCGTCCGGACCGCACAAGCGGACCTACAGGCGTTGACCCGCCTGCTTTTTTTTGTACATTTTATTAATGCTGTTTTTATTTGTGGTGGCGGGTTTTTTTCATAGTGGCTTTCAGGCGAAATGGACGGCACAACCTCGCCGCGCTTTCTTACACACGCCACGTTCCAACACAACAGGTGCGTACACTCGTCCTCTTCAATGACACCTGTCACCCAAGCCCCCCCTTGCCTCCCCCCTCAAGCAATGCCGTGCACTCAATGGGTCGAGATGTAGCTTATCCTCTTAGCATGCTGCAAAAAAGAGGGGTAACGGGGGGGGGGGGGGGTGCGCTGCTGCAGTGTTGGCGCCGCACGCGCCTCCCCTCGTGCACGCGCGAGCGCCTCCTGGGCACAATGCAACAAACCTCCATCTTGGCTCGGTGCTGCAGACGCGCGCATGCAGGACGCTCACGTGTGCGCGGAGAGACAAAAGCCACACACACTGACACATGATTCATACACGCGCACGTCTCACTCGTGCACGCGGTGACGTTCTTGACTTTCCGCGCACGGTCTCGCTGGCGTGTGGTCGCGCATGCACGCACATGCGAGTTCACCGCGCTGCAAGACAATTACTTCATCTCGGTCTCTCGACAGCTGCTGCTCGTGTGTGTGTGTGTGTGTGTGTGTGTGTGTGTGTGTGTGTGTGTGTGTGTGTGTGTGTGTGTGTGTGTGTTTTACGGGACGAAATGAGGGGCCTTCAGCTGGCCCCTGGCGACGTGCACCAAAACTCGCACCCTCGCTACACGCTGATGTCACACTTGACCCCAGTCGGGATGAGAGCGATGTTTAGAAAATGGATGCATCCCGCACATCATCACTCGGCGACAGATGTATTGATGTCATCGATGGGAGACAGTAATTGCAAAGGCAACGTCAGTGATTGCTGCATTCATTTGTCAAACTGATTTATTCGCCGAGTTTTGAAGACCTCTATTTGATCACCGACTTGATCAGAAGATGGGGCCATGTTTCTCTTTCAACAACTAGTGTTTACCCCCCCCCACACCCCCAAAAAAGGTGAGAAAAATGAAATCTAACATGTATACAACCGCTTCTTCTCTGAGGTGAATGAAAAACAAATGCATGACCTTGATGGCCAGTCACCGAGGTGGCTTTTGCGCAAACTCTCGCCATTTTGCTTCATCCGCCGCAAACAAGTCCAGACACTTTGTCGCCTGCTGCATTTTGGCTTGTATTGGAAGCCGGCTGTGTTGTACAAGTCTTGGTGCTTTCAGATTAATTGTCATTTTCTTTTTTCACATTCATCATTTTACATTTCTTTTTCAACCTTTTCTGTCATATGTGGTCCTCCAGTTTATTATTTATTTTCTAACCTGGTTCTACTCAATTGAATTGAGTGAGAGAAATGGCTTCTTTTATTTTGATAGTCCCGCTTCTTCTTTTACTTTGCTCGTCATCGTGCGCCAGGAGGGAGCAAGCGAGCGTTGGCGAGGACGATGATGGTGCGCGGTGATTTTTATTTATTTATTTTTTTCCGCCTACGTCGGAGTCGAGTCAACGAGCGGCCGGCCACCCGCGCTTGCGTGGGTGTGTCAAGTGCATTGTGGGAAATGCTGGGAATGCCGCATTCAAACAGCAAAAAGAGCAGGATGGGGTTTTTTATTATTATTTTTTTAAAACCCAAATGTTGTTCTTTGGTCCCAAACATCTCTGAGCGTGTCCTGAAGCACCGGTGTCAAATAAAACGCAACTTCGCCAACGTACGTAGCCCGCGGCGCACCTGATGAGTGGTTAGCATGTGTGCTTCACAGTTGAGAGCGCGGGTGTCTAACTTATTTTTGTCACGGGTCACATTTTAGTTACCCTTGGTGGGCTGTTATGACTGAAACCATAAAAAGAAGTCAATAATGCCGGTTTATTCAACTATTGTTGAAGTGACTGTAATGAGGGGTTTGATAACAAGACAATGCTTACAATAGCTAGCTCTCATTTATTACATTTGAGAATTTTTAATTTTGGTCGAGATTTTGGCAAGCATCATGGAAGCCGACATGTTTGATTTGCTTTCGCGGGCCACAGAAAATGATGCGGCGGGCCAAATCTGGTCCCCGGGCCTTGAGTTTGGCACCTGTAGTCTAGCGGTTCCTGTTAGCGTGTTAGTTTCAGAAGGGGAAAGTTGATTGGCGTCCATTCTGTCGTGGTCATTTTGTTCCCCAACGGTGACCGGCGACCGGTCTTTTTGTCTGTTAGTGACTAGCGACCAGTCATATAGTGGTCAATTTGTGCCCTGACATTTCCTGGTGACCCGTCGACGATGCGTCTAAGTTCCAGCTGACCTTTGGTCTTAATGTACAAATAGCTGTCTTAATAATTCACATGGACCCAAATGTCACAGCAAAATCAATGTCTTTTTTTTTTTTTAATAACATGGAAGGTTTCCATGACGACTGTTCCATCGAAAGGATGTTCATCTCTCACTGGACGCCAGCGTTTGCCCTTTTGATTTCCTGATGACTCTTCTTCCCGCTCGTCTATCTCGTTGTTCCTCGTGCTTTCATGGCTGCCGTGTGCGCCACGCCAGCAGTTGGAAAATCATCGTGTGACAAACGCAAAACCATCAACGTGGTGTGCGCTCGCGTTGGCCGAGCTGACAAAACGTTGACTAAAAAAGTTCTCATCAACCAACTGAAACAAATGCTTAAATACTGTACTTGAGTCGATTTTTTTTTTCCCCCCTCATATCTGGGCTTCACTCGAGCATTATTTTTTTCTGATCACTTTTTAGTTTTACCTGCTTCATTTGAAAACAGATAGAATTGTTGATTAATTGTTGCAGCTATTCCACTGTTATTACTGGGCTCAGCTTGTGTGCCTCCTGCTCCTCAGGAGCCACACTGCCACCTGGTGGACTGGAGTCATTTGTTCAACTCAAGAGTTGCGTGATCTTCAACTTGATCTTAAAAGCGGGTCATATGAAGTTCACGCTAACTGTGTTTTTGTGTTTTGTTGCAGTGCAAGGAGAAGGTGGAAGAAGCCGTGATCACCCTGGAGAATTTCCCCATGTCCGAAACCAAACGCCGGCACCAAAGTGACGAGCGTGTCAAGAGAAGGAGCAAAAAAAAAAAAAAAGAATCAGGAAATCTGGGAGTAGTGCGTGTGAGCTTTTGATGCCTCGCCACACCTCATCGGGGGACGGCATCCGACCCTCTGCTGCTGCTCTTTCCTCGGCTTAGGCGGTGCCGCCGGCCGCACCGCCGGACAACAATCCCTTTACGCCACAGCGCAGACCTCGCATCCACGTGTCGACAAAGCCATAGCCGCTTAGACTCCGCTTCCGGGCCACCCCTCTTTCTTCTTCTCTGTGCAACCGATCAGCCCTGGACCCGTTCATGTCTAGTGTGCAGGCAGAACCGTACCGCCGCGTTCGAACCAGGGCCAAGCCCTTCTTCGTTCTCTTCTGCTGGCCGGAGCTCAATTCGGAGCAGAGACACTCCTCGCACAAGGGCCACCACAGTACATAGGCTCCCTGTTCCCAAACCGCCACCTCTTGGGTTGGGTCGCAAGCCCCCACCCTCCTCCTCTCGGGTTACCCCCCCAGTGAAAAATGCCTTGAGGCTCATTCAGCTGCTGGTCATCCGCTTTTATTCGGCTGCTTGAGGCCTCGTCAACTTTTGCCGCCGCTCGCGTTACTTGAAGCGAGTCTTTGAAAAGTTTACATGCAAACCTTCAATGTTTACGCACTCCACCTCCTTTCGTCCATTTTGTGCTCCAGCTAGGATGATGAAGAGTTTACATTTCCGGCGCAACATGTTTGAACGCGTCGCCTAGCAACAAGCTGCGTTTACACAAGAACGCCTTGACGTTTACATTCAGGCGCCAGATGAAAATTTTCATATTTGGGAAGCTTTTTCTAAGTCATCCTGAAACGGACCTTGGCTTTTGTTTTGTTGTTTATATGTCATAACAACATGATGATGAAAGCCACAATTTCACCGGGGATGTTTTGCTACTCCCTGGTGCTTTTTTCCTGCCTTGCTGTTTCCACGGTAACCACCGATAACGATGTCAGGAAACCGCCGTCCGGCAACTCTGCCTCCTCGGCGTCCGGCAAACACGCCACCCTCTTCCTTCTCACCGGCTACGAACCGCCGCTGATGCTCAAGAAGGCGGAGGCGGAGGACGGCGACGACTGGCCGCTGCCCGTGGCCCAGCTGCCCCCCAAGCCCCTCCCCCAGACCATGTTGCCCAGGAATGTGACAGCCGACGCCCTCAAGCCCCCGCTGGGCGCCGCCCAGGTGGCGCCGCCCCCCAGGCAGCTGGTGGACGTAGACGTGTGCAGGTAGGACACACGTGACGGCAACGTGTGGGCCGACGCTCGCTCGCAGAGGCGTCCTGCTGTTGCCTAGCGACTGTTCAATAGTGCCGCAGCAGAGTTGAGGTTTTGGCACGTGCCGTGTGGCCCCGATTATTGTTGGGCACATGTTCCGGACAAACCTGGCATTGGTGAAAATCTACAATACAGAAAGATAATAGCCATTATTTGCGTCATCTAAATATCGTTTTATTGGAAAAGACACTTCGCTAATGCTTAATAGCTTAACGTTAACATGTCCTGGTCGCTTGTGTGGGTTTTCTCGGGGTACTGCAGCTTCCTTCTCTATTCCAAAAACATGATGGAAAAACAGAGATCAGGTTCAAAAATCAAAGTAAATTTGTGAAACTGTGACTCTGCCGATGCTTATTTTTGAAGAATTGTTGGCTACTCATTGAGCTCCAAGCCAGGCGAGGGCACCGTGTGTATGCTTGATAGCACTTTGTACGCTCAGGGGCTACTTCGACGTGATGGGCCACTTCGACAGCACTTTCAACTGCTCCAAGGGAAGCTATATCTACTGCTGCGGCACGTGCCACTACCGCTTCTGCTGCGAGCACCAGCGCAACCGGCTGGACCAGGACTCCTGCACCAACTACAAGTCGCCCGACTGGGCCGACCCGCAGGTGCCCGTCACGCTGCCCGCCGACAACAGACCCGACCCGGACTTTGAGACGCTCCAGCAGCAGAGCAGCAGGTGGGCGCGGACGGACGGACCGCTCACCCATCTCTTATCTCAGGAGAATACCTTCCCAATTTCGACCTGGCTGCGAAAAAAAATATAATAATAATCGTTTTAGGCAACTTGTTTGATGTGATATGAAGGCTTTCACGGCTGGTGTAGGTGAGTTGGTTTGACACCTTGGCGATCGGTCTTGTGCCTCCCTTAGGCAGTTTCCTCAAAAAGTGACACACTGCAAAACTCAAGACAATTGAACTTTGCGTATTCAAACACCAAACCGTATCGTTTAGTGTCATGAAACTGGCTAGCTTAATGCTAACATCTGCAATGAAATGCTCACGACAGGCTAGTGGAAAGTAGTGTGGATATTGCACTTTTTCTAAACCTTCAAGCAATTGCCAGGACAGGACACCTTGTGGCAAGATTGAGCATGGCAGCAAGGAACAGGACCGGCTAGGTCAGGTGGGGACAGGGCAGAACAGACCAGGACGGCATCAGTCAACGTAGGACAGGAAGGTACAGGATGGATTAGGCTGGAATTGGAGCTGATGTGAATGGGGTGGAGCGTACAGGACAAGTAAGGATGGGTTAGGACAGGACTGGCTTAGGACAGCCGGCTGGATTAGGATGCGAATAGGCTGGACTGCGCGGGATAGGACAGACTTGGTCGCCGCTCTCTAATGGGAGACAAACAATTAAAAGCTGATTTTTCCGTCACGTGTATCCCTGAACCGAGTTTGCTGGTGTGTTTTGGGCAGCACGGCCTACGTGATCGGTGGCGTGATCTCCTTCACGCTGGTGGCGGCCGTGGGCGTGCGGATCGCCTTTGCCAAGGTGGCGCGGCGCCCACGGAACCGAGACGCCAACATGCCAAGGTGAGACGCCGCTTCGAGAAGCCGTGGGATGCCTTCTCACGTTGCCTTCTCCGCCACCAAAATTATTCCATTTCACCTCTTTGAGAAAGACTTTTTATCACAAGGGAAATTGGATCATTTTCCATATGAGACTGCGCTGTGCACGCACCCGGCGTCCCAAACTCCATGGTGTCTGTCTGCTTGTGACAGGTCGCTGGTGGACATCCTGCGTCACCAGTCCAGTCCCGTGCAGCACGGCGAGAGGAACAACATGCTGACCACTGCCGACGGACGTCCGCCCAAAAACCTGTACACGCCCATCCTGCAGAGCAAGGACAACCGCAGTGAGTGAGCGTTCTCTCCGGCATACTCAAACTCTAACCCCCCCCTTTAGTGATGCCACGCATCTTCCCACACTGGCTTGTCAACTTGTTTGCGTGACGAGGCATTGGTGCCCGTCGACCACAGCTCCGACGTTCGTTCTCCGCGTTAACGCGCGAGAAGTGAACGAGCTTGAATCGGTTACATTTTTCTACTTTGCCGACAACGTCCAACAAATGAAAAATGGAAGTGGTAACACAGTGTCCAAAGCACTTTTTAAACGGCCAGTTTGCGTCACGGCCGATTCGTGCCGAGCCCGAGCGTCGACATGGACGCCTCATTGGACGACTTTGGCTTGTTGCTGCTTGTCCGCCATATTGGATGTGTCAACTCTGTCAACTTGAGAAAACTAAAAGTCTCTTATTCGCTTTTAGATTTGGAAAACAAAGCATGTCACTTTAAATCTGCTGTGTGTGTGTGTGTGTGTGTGTGTGTGTGTGTGTGTGTGTGTGTGTGTGTGTGTGTCTGTCCATTTGCACGTAAGTGTGTGTTTTTACCAGTGTGTTTGTCAGCATGTCTGTCCGTTTACATGTGTCTGTTAGTGTCATTTTGCATTTGTGTGATATGTAGGTTGTCTGCTTTGGCCCCCTCCCCCTCTTTGACCTTCGCATCACTCACACTCGCCTGCTTCCTCATGCCCCCCCCCGCAACCGCCACCGCCTGCTTCCTGCCACACAAAGCATTACCAAGGCCTGCGGCCGTCTCCAAGGCAACCAAGAAGCAATGCAAGTATTTGTTTCATGCTTTGCTTTCTGTGTCTGTATGTCTTGTTTGTGTGTGTCTTCTCGTGTGTGCGGTGAAATGAAAATGAGTGTCCATGTTGCCAAAGAGCGCGTCCTCCCTCCTCCACACTGGTGCTCTCACATCAAAGCATTCAATTCTTTTTTTTTTGCGCGTATCAGTCCCAACGCTGCTTTTCTGCACTCCACATAAAAAAACGTGCGAGGGTGTGTGTGTGCGTGCGCATGGCGGCGTCGTCTTTTCAGTTGCAAAGCAAGAATTATTAGAATGTTGGCTGCGCTGAATGTCAATGTGAGTGATTGTGTGTCCACTTTTGTATGAACATGTCAGTTTGAGTTTATTTGAGCGTATTTGTACCCCTGCGTCAGATTGTGTTGTAAGCGTGTTTTAGTGCGAGTGTGTCTGTGCATGCATTTATCAGAGTGTGTGTTGGGGGCGCTGTTCGTCATAGCGCACATCCCGTCCAGTGTACGCGCATCACTGTGCGGTCATGTCAGCGGTTGAGTGTTTGGCGACGAGTGAGGAGGGTTGCAAAGACGAGATGAGATGCAGCCATGGCGTGACTTTTTTTTGCCGTCGCCATGGAGATGGCAGCCATGTAGCAACCTGCGCGCCCGCGCGTCTTTTGTGTGTTCAGAGCGGGGCGCCCGCATGAACAACATGAGCACGCCGCAGCTGTCGTCGGGGCCTAAACTCATCGCGAGCAGCGGCAAAAGCCTGGGCGGGGGCCCGTTTGCGGGCAGCGGCATGCGGCACAGCACCAGCCACGCGTCCTTCTCCCACTCCCTCCACAACCTGGCGCAGTTGCCGCCCTCCTACGAGGCCGCCGTCAAGCCGCAAATCACCAGATACAGCTCGCTCAAGAAGCTCGGTGAGTCCAAGGGTGCCTTCAGTGTGTCTTTGCGCGTCTCAGCTGCTGATTGGTGTTTTTTTTTTCCTCCGCCCCTGTTTGTCTCAGAGCGCGAGCTGGACGAGTATCCGGGTTACTCCTGGTCCAAGCGGCGCTCGACCAACGCGCCACCGTCCTTCTACTCGTCGCAGCACCAGCTCCCCTGGGCGGGCGACTATATGGCGGGCTCGTCGCGCGGCACACTGCCGCTTGACGGCTCGCGTCCCCGCCCGTACGTGCCGCCCTCCACGCCCAATCCATACCCGCTGCCTGTGCCCGCGCACTACGCTGGGGGCGGCTTCAACTTCGAGCGGCCGCCGCGCCGCGTGCGCTCGCAGGATCAGCTGCTGGCGCTGGGCGAGGGCAACACCCTGTCCCGCCTCCTCAAGAACCAGCAGCAGCAGCACTACTACAGAAACATGAGGGGCGCCGACTCGCAGACGTTGCGCAGGTGACACTGCACGCAGAGTCGCACAAAAACTCACGCACACAAATGATGGCCACAGGTGTCAAAGTCAAGGCCCGGGGGCCAGATCCGGCCCAGCACATCATTTTATGTGGCCCGCGAAAGCAAATCATGTGTCAACTTCCTTGAGCCTTGCTTAAATCTGTACTGAAATCTTAAATTGTCATATGTAATAAATAACGGTGACATTTTGCAATAACTTTGTGACCCGGTTTACACTCACCATAACTGAACAAATACTTGACTGATTTCAAAACTCATGAGCCACTGTTTTTTTTTTTTTGTGTGTGTACAGTACCATATTGGCTTGAATATAAGACGGCCCTGATTATAAGACGACCCCCTCTTTTTCAAGACTCAAGTTTGAAAAAAGACTTTTTGAACACCAAATTAATTTTTATACAGAAAATAATTACAGCTGAAACAAATGACTATTACGATATATTTGAGAGAAAAAGCATGTTGTTTTGCCTCATTCAAATCTAAAGTGCAATCACATTCGTAAATGAATGGCCTCTGATTTTTGAAATGTAAATTACATCATAACTTCTCCTCAGCTGCCGGTTAACCTGGCCGATCTTCGACCCACTTTTCTCCAGATTGTCACTACGTTTCTCCATTTTCTGTTCTCTCTTCTATCTTTTCTTTCTTACCGCTATTTTTTATTTTTCTTCTTCGCGCTACCGCTATTTTTATTCTTATTCTTCATAGCAGGGGTTCACTTCGGCCTGGGGAATCAAGTTCAGCATTCACTTCAATGATATCTGGCGCCATCTAGCGTCGTGAATGGGTAAAATGTCTAGACCCTGAATATAAGACGACCCCCACTTTTACAGTCTTGTTTCAATGCAAAAAAACACCGTCTTATATTCGGGCCAATACGATAATGCGATGTGATGATTAAACATTTATTCGGTTTCACTGTCGTAACCGCCCTCCGAGGGAAGACATAATTCCAAAGTGGCCCACAACAAAAATGAGTTTGACACCCCTGACGTCAACACTTTCTCTCTGAAATGCACACACATTTCCACGAATCTTTCACGCTTATACTGTCCAACCGTGGCAGGTCCCACGAGCGACTCCTGATGTCCCCCGACCGGCTGGAGGATCAGCTGCTGGCCATGGGCCTGATGGTGGAACGGGGCGGCGGCGGCGGCGGCATGGTGCCCACCATGGGTCGCCTGAGTCACCACCACAAGGCGCAATCGCAACAGAACATCTGCGCCACGCCATCCATGGAGCGCCATCACATGGTCAAGATGAACTCTCACCCCACGCCAGGCCACGAGCACGGCGGCTGGGAGGGCCACCCCACCGCCCGCCGCAGCGCCTTTGCCAACATGCGGCAGAACACCGTCGAGCAGCTCCACTTCATCCCGGGGGGCGGCGGGGGACGCGTTCTGAGGACTGCCAGCAAGAACGAGGTCACTGTGTGAGACCTGCTCCCAACGCCGCGCTTCAAGCTTGTTTGGGCACCGACATCGAGTAAAAATGATGAGCGGATTTACCTGACGCTAGTTTGGCCATCCACACTCGCAAAACGTAACAAGGAGATCCGCACTCACACACGCACACACACACATACTCACACTAACTGAAACTCACACACAGATTGATCCACACAGACACGCAAACGAGTAATTGGCGAAATATGCAAGGTAGGTAAAACCGTTTCTTTTTCTATCGTGTGGCCTCCAGAGGACCCCCCCAAAGTCTAAGAAAACAGGATGGAACCGTGTTGCACGGCGTGAGAGCAAACTGAGGACGATGCGAATGGATGATGGAGGAAAAGAATTGAAGGAAGCCGCCGATCTCCTTCTCCTTCCTTCGAAGGCTTGTATCAAGAAAACAAAACAAAAAAAAAACCCAAAGTAACCTCCTGCGACAAAATCTATCTGCGTCGTCTCTTTTGAATTTACTTCTAACTGCATTTTATCGCCTCAAAATCAAGCTTTGACTTGTTAAAGGGATGAAAAAGTGCATTCCCCATTCATTTCACCGGGGAGTGCTTTGAGATACGAGCATGGTCACAAATTCAACTCCCATCTCAAGGCGCCACTCTATTTGGGTGTTTGTTTTTTGAATTTCAAAGTTTGATTTTGATGCACGGAGTTCAGTGTCTGAAATGTCCACACCCCTACTTGCATAATCGCTCCTCCTCTCAGTGGCACAACTGGAGAATACAAAAAAAAAAAAAAGCTGTCAACTCGTCGGCTGCTTTGGAGCAGAGCCGGTGCGCCAACGCGTCTTCGACTGTATTTCAAGGCCCACAACCTGCAAAAACGGAGAAATCCGCCGTGTCGTCGTCGCCGGCAGCGTTGGGCAGCCATCGTGTGGAATGCCAGCACTTTGGGAAGAGGGGCATCAGAGCCACGGGCCGGACGGATGCTTGGCCGGCGGCACACTTGATGACACTAAGGGCTATAAACACAAAACAATTGATGAGGTGTGCGTGTGTGTGCTGCGTGCCTGTCCTTTTCTGTTACTTTCTCGCTTTCAAGTGACTTAGGGCACACGCAATCAACGTTTGGGATGGCTGAGACGACGGGCGAAAAAAAATGGCCTTCCTGTCTGGTGGCGCTTTGGTGTTTGGGCAATGCTTCCCAACCTAAGTGAGTGTTTCGTTGGTCGGCATGTCACTGCACGCAAGAGCTGGCGCATTTGTCTTCCATCCAAAATAGATGGAACTTTGTGACATTGGATCATTTCACACCACACACCTGAGAAGCTACTGGTGGGGAGTCGCTGCATTAAACGGCACATTTGAGTTCCACGTGTCGGAGTTGATGATGATGATGATGATGATGTCACACCCATGATGTCGCTGTCACGATGTCCCGTGTGTGTGTGTGTGTGTGTGTGTGTGTGTTTGTGTTTGTGTGTGTGTGTGTGTGTGTGTGTGCGCGTGCGCGTGCATGCGCGTAACTCCTCCTTCGGATGTTGAGCCTCATACGAACTTTTCAGAGAGTGAAAACAGATGATCCGTCACTGTCGTCATTGACCAAAGCCACTTGAGCGCTCGTCTTTGTCTTTTTTCTTCTTCAGTGAGAAAACCTGAAAAGTCTTCTTGGTGTCAGGCTGACATGAAGTGTGTGTGTGTGTGTGTGTGTGTGTGTGTGTGTGTGTGTGTGTGTGTGTGTGTGTGTGTGTGTGTGTGTGTGAGTGTTTGCGAATTGTGGCCATGTAATCTTTGTAAGATCCTCTGCATACCTCAAATTGGAAAGGACTTTTCATATAGGACATCCTGTCCAATGTTGAAGAAAGGCCTCACACTTTGTTTTCTTCTCACTTTGGGTTTGTACAAATCACAATGGTTGACAATGACAAATAAATCCTTTGAAAGCTTTTTGTTCTTGTCTGCTTCCATTCATAGAAGCAAATGACACCAGGACAGAAAAATGAGCTGGTTGCCAATTCATGTCAGGCGTGATGACAGGCATCCATCAACCTGGCTGTGCATGATGACAGAAAACAAAAAGTTGTGGCGCCATGTCTGTCAGTTACGCATGTTGTGACGTCAACTCGCGGAAAAATCCCATACCAGCACCCTGCAAACCATTGACAAAAATAATTTTCGGGCCCACCGTAACTGCAATAGCTCGCATGAATAAACAGTGGACTGGTCTCCAAACAGGGCACATGTGGACAACCATGGAGTGGTCGCCAGTTAATGTAGAATCCCGAATTGAAAAAAAAAAATCAACACGCACACAAACAAACAGATGGTCACAAAAAGCACACCGCACGGAGCTAATGATGTCTTCAATTGATTTATTGCCCTTTATTTCGTGGACACGCACGCACGCACGCACGCGCCATGTCAACAGGCCCAATGTGCTCGTGCGCGCGCACCGAAGCGGCGAAAGGCGCACTATTTGGCAGGCAGGGGTCAGCGGTGAGGCGCGTGAAAGCGGGGCGGTGGTCGGCGGCGGTCGCGCCCGGACACGAGTAGCCTGCGGCCGACGGCCTTGCTATAGCCGAGCCGGAACTCGCGCGCGCACAGGAAGCGACCATTTCAGGGCTCCGAGCAACCGAGGGGGAGCAGGTGGGGGGGGGCGACTCGGGCCGAGCGAAGGAGCGAACGAGCACCGACGCGGGGCGGAGAGCCAGGCGAACAGCCCCCACCCGGCCGCGGAGAGCACGACCACTTGAGGCTGGCAAAGGCGGAAGCGAAGCGGCTTGCTTGCTTGCTTGCGTGCGTGCGAGCGGCGTCGCGCAGCCTGGAGACAATGGCGGCGCCGAGCGGCCTGCAGGGTTTTTGTTAGTGGGCTCCGTGTGGACGCTAGGCCGGCCGAGCTCGCTGCTAACCCAGGCGGGAGGAACGAGCGGTCAACCATCGGAGACTCCGCGCCACTTTCGGCGCGTATGCTTAAATTATCTCAGCATTTTCACACCCTCCCCCCTTGACGAGCATTTTGAGGTGAGGACGTTATTACCGTTACCGTCTTTATTATTTTTATTTTTTTTTACATAAGGAACTACTTTATTGTTCACGGCGGCGGCGGAAGGTTAGCTCGTCCGTTAGCTTGGAGCTAGTCGGAGGCTAATCGCTTGGCGAGCGAAGCTGTTTGCATCGCAGATTCCCCTCTTTTTCTGTCCTTTTCCTGTCTTTTATTTTCTCTTACGATGGGCGGAACTGTACGTTTGTTAACTGAGTTGACACGAACTCTGTTCGTGTGCTTGGCTATTGCGACTCTTATTTTGTGCCGTTTGGCCCGCGTTTAGCTCGCTGCCTGCCCGCCTGCCGATGGAGGCGACGACAACAACCTGAAAGCCGAGTGGGCGCCCCATAGGCAGTCTCCGTGACCCTCCCGCCCCGCCGAATGTCGCACACAAAGCAGGTAAGACGCAAGCTCGCGACTGGAGATACTCAGTGATGGCTTGATAACAACAACAACAACAACAGGGATGAAGATGTTGGTCGGTAAGGAGTGATGCTGTCACTGATTCGAGTTTGATTGGCAGCTTGTCATGATTGACAGTGGTAAAAGAAGCTCAATCTTGCAACAATGCAACAGTGATAATATCATGTCCCGACCACATCTTTAGCTACACCTGTTTTAATTTAGTACACGAAAACAACAATAACATGGTTGGGTTGCGCTGTATACCTAGTTCTAAAAATGAATCCGCAAATACCTCAATCAAAAATGATGCGATATGATTAATTTGTGGTTAAGCGAGCAGCAAACAGTTTTCCCCCAAAAAGGGACATGACCTCATGTCAAGCTGGTAATTACTCACCCTTGTAAAGCGTGCAGTGCTTCTACATGCAAGAACGAAAGCCTGATGAGCACACTGCAGTGTATGTCATCCAGAGAGCCAGACTGAACCATTAATGCGTTAATGTAGTAATTCTGTTGACGGCGTTTTCCTGGACTCAACATGAGGCAGAGATGGCTCTGTTCTGTGATTGTCGTGTCCTCCATGGGTTCCAAGAATTTCTGAAATTGATGTTACAGACCACACCAGTAACTGAATCATTGTTACATGTTTGTGCATTTTCAGCACAGTCAATTTGAAGTAAGGTTATGTTTTGGAATTTTTTTTTATTTTTTATGATTTACTGGATTGTTAATTCCATCCATCCATCCATCCATCCATTTTTGAATCCGCTTATCCTCCCTCACAAGGGTCTCGGGCATGCTGGAGCCAATCCCAGCTGTCTTTGGGCAGTAGGCAGGGGACACCCTGAACTGGTGGCCAGCCAATCACAGGGCACACATATTGTTCAGATCGATTGATAATTAAAGTAATCAATAGTTGCAACCCGAATTTCCATTTTGACACTGTGTGGTTTTTTTTTTCAATCCTCAGACTTGCGGAAGAATTCAGCAGGAAGACGCCTTGCATTCTTCCTCTTGACTCTTCTCCGCCTTCCAGTACCCCGACAGAAGCCGACAAAGATTTCATGCGGTCTCTTCGTGGAGGCGGTCTGAGCCCTCGCCGGCACAAATGAGACAGTGATCTCCCGAGAAGCCCGGACTATTCTCCTCGAGGTTCTCACGTGGCGCACGGGGTCACTTTGACCCCCCGGGACCGCTCGGCCATCGCCCGCTTGGGAGATGTTCCAGTTCAGCAAGTACCCCATGGAGATCCTGGAAATGCTGAGCGGACACCAGGCGCATCAGTTCAAAGGTTTGGGCTTGGAGCGTCAGCTGAGCCACCAGCAGCAGGTCCAGCTCCAGCATCAGCAGCAGCTCCAGCAGCAGCACCAGAGCCCCGCGGACACGTCCGGCGGTCTGCTGTCCGGCCTCGGCCTGGGAACCCTGCCCACCTCTCGGAGCAACGCCTTTGCCGACTCCTCGTCACTGTTCGCCAAAATGAGCGCCCCTCCGCCGTCTATATCGCACCAGAGTCAGTCGTCGTCTTCATCGTCGACTCACAGCTCCAGGAAGTCGAGCAAGATGAGCGGCGGGAGCAGCGGCAGCAGCTCCTCGTCGGGGTATCCGCAGTTCCTACGACCTTTCCACCCGGCCGAGGCGGCGTTAGCGCAGGAGCAGCTGCACTCGGGAATGGGACGCTTCGACTTTGGCGGCGGCGGCGCCAACGGCGGCGCGGGGGTCCTCCCCGCGCCCCCTCCGCCTCCGCTGCATCCCGGTCTCTCGGTGCCTCAGCCCTCCGCCGGACCCTCGTCTTCCTCCTCGTCTACCTCCACCTCCGCGTCGGTCTCCAGCAACCCTCCCGGCGGCACGGCGGTACCCCTGGTGGGCCAGTCGGACCCCCGCAGCCTCCACCAGCAGTTCAGCTGCATGCTGGCCGCCAACCAGTACTTCCTGTCGGGCGTCCCCACGAATAGCAGCCTGGAGCAGTTCCTGGTGCAGCAGGGCACTCACAACCACTTGGGTCTGGGTCTCAGCCAGGGCTCGGCCGAGTCCAACTCGTCTTTGGCTCCTCCCCCCGCCCTGCACTCCTCTCACACCCACTCGGCGCCGCAAGCTCCGCAGCAGCAGCAGCAGCTGACTCCCCACGCCTTATCTCACCCCCACGGCCACACGCACCACCCTCACCCGCTGCACCCGGCCCCCCAGCCCGCCCCACTTGGTGGATTTGATTTTCAAAGCATTCCGGTCCTCTCGTCCAATCAGATTGCTTCCCTCATGCAGCAGGAGGCGGGGATCCCCCTGCCCTTGCCCCTTCACTTGTCGCTCCCCAAAGATGACGCCGCCAAGTCGGGGGAGGCTTCCTCCTCCGCCTCCTCGCTTTCCAGCAGCGGCGGGAGCAGGCGCAAAAAAGCCATGGCGGGATACCTCCCGCAGAGGAAGGCGGAGAGTCACGCTCACGGCGGCTCGGGGAGCCATCGGCACGGCTCGTCCGTCTCGGCCCTGGTCGGCTTGTCGCTCCCCAAAGATGACGCCGCCAAGTCGGGGGAGGCTTCCTCCTCCGCCTCCTCGCTTTCCAGCAGCGGCGGGAGCAGGCGCAAAAAAGCCATGGCGGGATACCTCCCGCAGAGGAAGGCGGAGAGTCACGCTCACGGCGGCTCGGGGAGCCATCGGCACGGCTCGT